TGTTCACTTCGTAGATGCTTAACCATTACCTGAAGAAGTTCAGTTGAATATAACTTCTGCGATATCAGTGTTAGAGTGCGCGGTATTGGAAGGTGCGCTAGTAACAGTATAGAGGGTCACCCCAAGAGGAATGTGTTTCTCCCTAGAGTAGTTCGTGGATCGTTCTCGCTCGTGGGACACCCTGGTGTGCTTTCCACAGCGCCTTGGATGACCCCACATGTTCATTAGGCTTCCGTAGAGGGTAATCTCAAAGCATGACGGAAAGGTGAGCGCGCATGTTTTTCCTCTTCTCTATGTACACCCTCTTTGTTGTTGAATGCTCTACATACCACGCTTTTCCTGCTCAGCTCCGGTGCTAGGTCGAACATCATATATTAAATTCTGTGCCTAAATACGCGTGGCTAAAACAATCATATACGTTTAGAGGGAAAGGAGCATTAGGTCTCAATTCGTTTCTCGTGAAATCGTCTTTTCATGCTAACGTGAGCGGATCTTTTTAGAAGCGCTGCCAAATCCGACCAGCATTTGTTCGCGATAGAAATGGTTTCTGAGCAATCTCCCTGCGATGAAACTGTGGCGTCCCACTGTAATATATTCGAGGCTGTTAGACCAGTAAACAGGTCATCAGAAGGGCTCAGAGATTGTAATGGCTGAATGCCACACCCATAGCGGACGAGTTTCAACGGCGTTCTAGAGGCTGTACCATAACAATGGGCTTCCATGTCGGAAATTCAAAGAACTAGACGTGACCCACGGCGACAGTGGAAGGCAGTTTTGAACATTTTTGGCTTAATTTAGTTAGCTTTTTATGCAATCGCAACACTCAAATCTCGTTCAAATACCCAATACATGCCTTTCCCGTCATAGTGATCTCGTACAACCTCTATTTCCTACTTTTGGAAGCTTTACTTTTCGTGAAGTTGACGGATTTTCTCCCTTTCTATGCTACCGATGCACTGTTCCCCAAAAACCCCTCCACCTTTCAATTTGAGAACGGTACCTCAAAATTATCGTGACTTCTGCTTTCAAGCCAATCTATCCGCGATCGCTGTCAAATTCGGCCAGCATTCCGCTTGTTCGATGTTCTTTGTTATGAACTCAGCTTTCTCTTCACGGCAGAGTTGATGTGAGTAGCGTCCGTCGACCTTCACTTCCCAAGCACTTTGAGTGACGCAGTTGTTCTCGAGAGAGCATTACAGAAAACTTGGGCTAGTTGTCTAACAAAACCTCGAGAGCGTTACTGGGATTCGCCGTGCCGTAGCCGTAGTTTTCTGTACCTTTCTTCAGGTTGATAACGACTCGGTCAAAAGGGTAAAGTCTGTCAAAATAGTGTTCGATGAGACCAATGGTTGAGTCATCGTCACCGTCGAAAATGTTTGAGCTTACATATAGCCGTCCTTGTCGTCCTAAATCTACTCTAGCCTGTTACGCAAGGGAGCGCCATTCCCCATAGGTTGGAGGTACTAGCGAGAGATTTGTGTCGTTCGGACATTTCACGAAGAGAAAAATCTGATTCTACCTTCTTCATGGAGTTGCTCAACACTTAGCCACAAATACAGCCCTGCTTTTGCTAGCTCATCGACGAAGGCAGGTTACACATAGTTACTTGAAATAGGCAGCAATAAACACACCGCACTTTTAAACATGAGGGTTTCATCATTTGCCTTGCCACTTCCACCAAGCTATACACAGCTAACCATGGCATCGGGTATGTGGCCGGACGTGCGTCCGAGGACACGCGCGTCAAAGTAGCGTGACGGTTTGAACCACTTTAGCGCCTATCGATGGGATCCGAATTTGTAGTAGAGTAGATAAGAAGGATTCTGACCCTACTCAACTACTCCACTTCGAGCTTGTGCCCCGAAAATTGGCGCCAGAGTCGCACAAATCGTCACGAACTTCGCCGCACACGTTGCCGCGCGCATCCTCGGACGCACGCTCGTCCCGTCCCCCATGAGATGGCCTCCACAGGATCAAGCCCAAATCAGGCATCAGACTGTAACAGCAAAGCGTAAGCTCATCAAAGCAGTAGTATGTCGAACCGTTTCAGTAGATTCCTCCAAAGTGGCATCGACTGTGAGGCTTCTTTTCGCTAGCTCGTTAACTTTGACGAATTTTTTCACCTGCTCTGAGCTACCGAACTATGCTAGCCTGACGAATCCTAGTTCTTCTGGACCAATACACAAACGTCAAGTAATAGAGCAACTCATCACCTAGTCAATTAGAGTGAAGCAAATTATCTTGTTACTTACTGCTACGTAATTTAGTTATATGATCTGGGAATGTGTGGAGATCTTCTGGAGGGAGGTCTACACCTAGGAAGAACAACAGATCTTCTTCTTCCTTGGCTGTTTAATGAATATTTAAGTTCCTGGATGCTCTCTGTTCTCTCATATTTTTGTTCACGGTGGGACATCTCCAAGCAGCTCTTTTGAAATCACTTTGAAAACGATGGGCAAGTGCTTAATCAACTCCAGCATATAAGTACATGACATTTAAGGGAGCTCCACTATAAGAAACAAAGGTTTGGCTATAACAGAAAAAATCGACACATCCGGATTTTCGATATCAAGAGATAATTGCGGGGGTACTCAAACCAGCTTTCCCTTCATAATATTATAGATAAAGGACAATTTTTTTAGCTTTGATCAATTCCTTTTTCAAGCTGCGCCCCACATTCGACTCACAATGAACTTTTGAATACTATGTGGCCTTTACAATGACTTGTTCTGACCAGCCAATATACCGGTCAATGCTTTTAGCCTCCCGAACGAGACTGGAAACCTTTGGAAGAGGGCTCGGTTTGAATGGACCCCCATTCAAACCGATCCCCGGACCATGCGGGTCACTCGCCACGTTAACAGCTCCACCCTTTCCCTCCTCATAAATCTGTCAAAAAAAGAAAACTTAAATTTTGGTCTAAACAATCTGTTGTTTGAGATTCTTTAGTCACCCTTTTATTAGTAAGCTTCCCTTGTGAAGACGGTTTTCTCAGACTAATAAGGCAAATCATCAGCTACCTCATACAGTTAGCCCACAACACGAACGAAATATAATTAATGGCTGACTAGACAGACTGACGCCATTAACAAATCATAGTTTGTGCATCATGGGGTGTAGGAACGTCTGAATGCTGCGGATGACGACAACGTAAATACAAAGGTATAAACAAACAAACGCCTTACCGCATTACGCTCCACAAACATTCAGATTCCATTGAAAAAGGAAATGCTCGAGGCAATTCTTATCAAACGATCTTGCCTGGGCACAAACAACGGAAAAGAACGGTAGAGGCACTGGCGCTTTCATAATCCACGTTTTGGCGAGCGATCGGTCGCTCGCGAAATCGTGGACTATGAAAGTAGCCACTGCGATTGCTATTGTAGCGGTACCGAGTAGAATATTCTGTGTCGTATGTGTCAATCATCTTTAGGGGCCTTTAACTACTTAGGAACTGTGCCGCCATAGTTGATGGTTGTTCATTTGTGCCCTTGTATTTGTGGTTTTTGCTCTATTCTATTTTTGCTCTATTTTTCATGTATTTCAATATTTTATCTCACAGAAAGTTCTTTCCATAGCCTCGGCCTGATTAGTCCATTTGTTCAGAATTCGTTGGTGCTGTTGACAACAGCGTTTATGTACTTGATGTTTTGCATAACTAGGTTTGGAGAATCTATTATAACGGCAAACATTCACCAATGAAAGTATTGGAGATGTGTATTCAAAAGCACTACTCAAAAAAATAACAAAATGTTTTTTGACATTCTCTCTCAAGGTGAACCTGTGCTCTCCAAACAGCACATGGGACGTAGCCGGGTTGAAAAACGACCTCGATAGGGCGTTATAAGAGCTCCAAGTTCGCGTTGGCCTGCGTACACGAATGAAAGATTGTGTTTTTAAAGTTGTACCATTAACAGTAAAGCGTTAAGACGATGACGAATAGCACACTTATGTGGGAGGCACTCAGACGGTTACAGACACAAACTCATACAACCCCTTTCTTACTACTTCTTTAAAGCCTTGTATTCCTGGAGATCCGCCGATTTTTGTGCTTTCGCCATAGCCTCCATTATAAATTATCGTGAACTTTCCTAGAGAATGCTCAGTTCATTAAACGATAAGGGGTGGATAAGACGCCCAAAATCATGATTATAATGGGCTGTTCCCTCCATAGGTCAAAGATAGAAAAGAACGATTTTCCGATTTATACAGAAATCAAGACGTCCCCGTTGTCAACTGTGAAGGGTAACGTTGCTGTTGTTATCACTTTGACTGCTGCTTTCATAGTCCAGGATTTGGCCCGTCCGCCCAGTCGCGCGACCGGTCACGGGCGAAATCGTGGACTATGAAAGCAGCCTCTGCATGAATACTCTATAGATCGAATCCGGATTACATCATGTTCATGAAGTGCAAAAGTTCATGAACACCGTTAACCTGAGCTATTTACAGTGGGTACTTGTGTAGACAGCTGGTTGGTAGGAAGTTGAAAGGCTCACATTGCAGTACATTCGTGGTATACGTAGTCCGAAACTTATTGGTAGCAACAAACGTCCGTGGGACAATGTCTAACCCACTTGAAGGGCCGCTTTTCGGAGAATCTTAAAAAGTAACCGGAAGGATGTTGCCACTCCATCACCAGTTCCAATTGTCCCAAGTTGTCGTTCTTTCCGTAATTTAAATTCCGATCATTGAGCTTTCACTTTCCAGCAGGATCCGATCCAGTTATACGCGAATTCATATTGTTCCCCCTGGGGTGTATGGGATACCTGCTTTTCAACAACAATCCTCCCGCTGGACGCGGAACTTGGCGAGCTTATTTGAAGCCAGAAGGGCAGATAACAGACGAGAAGAGTTCGGTGAGAAGGTGTGGATTGGCGAGGCGCAGAGTGGGGGCGAGGGACGCAGAGGCGTGCCTACGGGTCTCCGTCGTCCTCGTGGTGTTGGCGGATCGTCATCGTTATATTTGACGTCGTGATCTGCTATCTGAAGGCGTCAAGTGGATGGAGAATCCGCTGGTGGCCGTCATCACATCGTCGGCTGTCGAATCTCGGGTCAGAAAACGTGGTTTCCGCTCAATTTCACAACTATTGCAACCATTCGCTACACATTCAGTCAGTGTAAGGGTAAGTTACAGCTGTTTGTGATCATACTTTTACAAATTATCGACAGATCAACTTTTAAGTGAATTCTGTTCGAATTGAGACAATAGTCTTTTGGGCATTGAACCGGCATTTGTTGTTTGTCTTTTGAAGCGAATGCTTTTCATGGACAAATGCTCAGAAGCTGTGTCAGTTTTGCAAAATCACTTTCACCGTTCTTTTGGGAGGATAGTGCTTCCATTTGGTGGTGCTTTATCACTTTCATGAGCTAGAGCGGTAGGTAGAATATAGGAATAAGCGCTGATATTCCCATGGTAGCCCTCGCTCGAACTAGATGGAAACTTCCTGTTCAGGGTGCCGATCTGCCTGAGTAAAAGTACTTTTAGCCTGAAGTTTATTTGCTAGCATAGCCTGAGTCCCTTAATCATAAATGATGTCGTGGCAACCGCTTCTACTAGTTTCTTTCGAGTTTCTCGCCCTAATATTCAACTCATTTCAGACCCCTGTCAAACATTTTAGTTAAAACGCCATAGGAGTCGCCTGTTTGAAGGCAGCTTTACAGTTGATGTCTTCATTTATAACTTGCTAATAACTGTGATCGTAACGGGTTCCTTTTTGACCTACCAACTTTCTTGTGTGTTCTATTCGTTATGAAGAGCAGTTGGGCTGTTCCAGTTCGAAATATCGGAACGAGCTGAGTAACAGGTTACCGTTTGTCCAGCATACTCTTGCATTCCCAATTCAATTCTTAGCTCCTAAAAAAAGTGGCTTTTATGTTAATTACTCAAGATTAGGACTTCCCTTCGATATTTTCAAAAACAGCACGAGTTGGTCTATCCAACCCTCTAAAACAAAATTCTTTTTGTCATTGGGTAGCTTACTCAAAGACAGAACCCTATACACCAACGATTATTCAAGATTTCTGTAGTGCTCTTTACTCTTACTTCTCTATGGTAACATTCGAATCTTGGAAAGGCATCCATTTATAACCTTCTCCAGTTCAGCTTTCTTTTGTTTCAGGATCCGTCTACAGGTCAGTTGGTGTCTGCTAATGTCACAATTGACTTCAATGATTTAAATAAAGAGGGACACCTGCTCACATTATCAGTTCTACCCCACGTGCTTTTTGAGGTATGTTTTAAACGTAATCGTACGTATTGCTTGTATCCATTATTGAAGTGTCGGGCTTTTTTCGTGGGGGAAAGACTAGGCCCGTCGGGCTGAAAATTGAGGCAGTAGTCACGAAATGATCTGTTGTTGAGGTTGATGACGATCACGAGTCACCCACTTCTAGCTCCTCCCCTCGACAAGTTTTTTTTATTTGCATACCAAAAATGTGTTCTATACCTTCCAAAGTCTCTTATCTGAGTCAAAATTTAGTTGTGATCTCTTTATTTGAGTCAAAAAAGATGTGACCATATCTTGAATGGTGTCCTGTCAAAATTAAGTTCTGATCTCCTTATTTGAGACAAAAAAGGTGTGACCATATTTTGAATGGTGTCCTGCCCACTCCCCCATCCTAGGCTCATATCTTGCCTCAATTCACTTGGTGCCTTTTCAGGTGCTGCGATCGAAATCTCAATTAAATGATGCGCTTGATAGCTTTGAAGCTGCTTTGCGGAAATGGGCCGAACCTGCTGAGCAGGAGACATTCCGTACATACCTTGCCTGTATATTCGTTGTTGCTGGAGGAGAGGAGAAGCCAATGAGCGAATTGAGCAGGCTTGTGCAAGAGCAACATGCTCAGCAGGTATTGTATTTTACATATAGTATGACTTTTTGAATGCTAACATTTTCATTTATATTGGTTAGTATTAAAAAAAGTGCATTTATGCGCTATGGAAGGCTCACTATGTTAAAAAAGGATATTACGCTTCCTTTTTTGCATAGTTTTAGTTTTATAATTTCACATTCGTGACATTATTGGAACTCCTCGTTTTATCAGTAATGTTAGGACGATTTGCAGCCAGTTTACCGCTGCACAGGCAACGTCTCATTTCCGACTAAATTCCAGAATTTTGGGAGTTATGGTGTTATTGAGGGCATGCCTGGCTTTCGATAATTCTTTCCTAAAACTCTTCCGAATTCGGCAATCTCTAAATTCGATCTAAGCATTAAGGGTGTGGTTGCCGGGTCACCAAACTGGCCTGCCTCATATCTGCGTAGTGAAGTTCCATTTAATTGTTCCTTTTTTTAGTGTTATTGGGGGAGTTGCAACTTTCACTTTCTGAGTTATGATTGGCTGGCGATCAGGGTTCTCTTTCTTGGTGGTACGGCGCTAGTCAGCCGATTATGTTTAATACGGATGCTTCTCATTCATGTCAGTAAAAAGTATTTGCGGATGTTTCTGTTGGGGTCATTGTGTATCGCATTAATTCCTTGCTAATCCTTCGAGAGTGATATCTGCTTCCCTCTTCTGCGAATTGTTACACTTCTATACATATTATTCTGTACTGCTCCACGTTGTTACGTCTAACAGTTTCATAGAAATTCATACTAAACCCCATACTCGTTGATAAAGGAACTTGCTGTATCCTAAACTTTTGCTCTACGTAAACTTTTGGAAGTACTCTATACCCGTCCTTCCTAAAACTCGCAAAAGCCTGCCACGTGCACGCTCATACACCACATTTGTGAAGGTATAATGAATCATCTCGATTTCTCTTTCTGGCCAGTGGTCCAAACGTAAAGACAACTCCCATGATGGGTGCGGATCAGTGCACTTTAAGTTCTTAAGTTATACAACACACCTATACCTTCATACGCTGACGTGTTAGAGGATCACCATTCCCTCTAGAATTCGCCGATTATACACCCCCTCGAGTCTCGTCTCCGTCAAACATTTCCGCTGGGACATGGCGGCGCACGCTTTTGTGGGCGGGGTTATTCTTTGCGCCCAAAACGAAAGATCAATAGATGGTAGTTGACCTCAGCAAACCTCAATTTCGCCGACATTGCGTTGTCTAGAGTTTAGGTGGCATCACTTTAACACATATGAGTGCGTTTTATACTTTTGATAATCTTTCCACAATTCACGTTAATGTAGACAAAGAATTCTAGAAGTTTTCATCTTTTTTCCCGCACTGCCTCCATTCATTTTGTCATATTCAGCATTCCTCTGGAGATTCAAAAGGGCTCACTCCATCTCATTGTGGTCCCCCCAGGTGGACTACTCCAAACACACTAAAACACTACTTTCTTCTGCACGACGCTGCGGAAGATGATGAGGCTAGGTAAATAACATCATTTTCCTGAATTTTCTGAGTAACTAGTTAAATCTAAGTTCAGGACTACTGCGGTTTTCAATGAAATGTGCTCTACATATGGGATGGACTACTGCCAGATGTTGCGGATTGGTGATGGGGTAGTTTCGGAAGATTTGCCCGACGTTTGGCGTGATAGCGATGAGCTGGATGCTATCCTGAACGCTGGTCTACGTAGAGCTCTCCAACATGCTGCCGCTTCAGCCATAGCCCATCAGACACTGGAACGGAAGCCAAGTGCCGTAGGTCGTTTCATCTATTCATCTTGATTAGTCTGCCATTTCATGATGATCTAACTTCAGACCAGTGTATCCACTATCTCCCCGTCATATGCAGTGGTGCAGTCGTCTTGTATTCCATCCACGGCCCTTAACGGTTATCCAGGTAAGAATTTCAGTTATAAAAACTCGGAAATGTTTGCTATCATTTTTGTTCAGGAAACGGAAAATCGCTATCTATAGGAGAGCACGCTATATCAGCTGCGGACAGAGAAGCTTTAAAAAATGTCACTCTGAGGTTCCTAAAAAATTGCTTGGTCAGTTGTCTAATAAGTATGTTATAGAGGAAAGTATTTCATCGAGTGGCTTGGGATGAGATTTTTCGAGTTTTCCCATGCTTTTATGGGGCTACTTTAGATTCCACATGTGGAAAGGCTAATGCGTACATTGGTTGAGCAGTTAGCTGCCAGACGGGGGTTGATAGGGAAGTCCTTGACGAGTGGAATGAAGAAATGGTTTGGAGGTACTTCGACTGGTAACTTACAAACACTATCTTCTGTCAGGTTCGTTCACATCACTTTCACAGTAACTTTCAATTGTATCCCAAGTAAGGGACCTAATACTTCCTTAACATCAATCCCAATACTCCTAACATATAATAGGAAGGGCAACGTGAGGTTTGAAAAGCATACAGGAACTGGGGGCTCAAGGGGAATCGACGACGGAGTTCATGGCACATTTTGCTGACCTGGAGCATGGTCCTCGCGACAAAACTCTGTCCTACATCCTCCCCGCTCTTCATATCCCTGATGCCTCCGATCTTATTGTCCTTTGAAAACACAACCAATGATAACGAGTCTGAAATAGTAAAAAGAGGGTTTATAAATGAAAGAGCTGATGGCCTAGTTAGATAGATGTGGTTGCATTAGAAGGTTCAGGGTTAGAAGGTAAACGTACCTCGTTCTCATTCGAATGTTTTAATTCCGGGTGTGAGTTAATCACGCCCTTACAAGATCTTGCTCTTGCGGGGAAGAAGTTTTCAATTTGAAACCTCCCTAATGTTGCTGCATTGCAGTTTTCAACCGGAGAGCGTGGAAATGCAGAGTCGACGGTTAGCTGACTTGGCATTTCTGTTTGGATTGTACTCCTTCGCCCAATCCCATTATCGTTCAGTCAAAAAGGACTTCGAGCACAGCCAGGCATGGTTGTATCATGCTGCTGCTTCGGTTAGTTCTCGATTGTTAAGGCGCAATATGCTTCCCATGCTTTTTTGTAAAATTATGTGAAAGTGGAACTATGTGATTACAATATGCTGTTTGAAATGATTGGTAATCAAAAATTGGCTTTTTTTAAATTAAATCACTTCAAAACACGGTTGTGCTACGCAGTAATACGCGCAAGCTTTGCCTAAGATCTTGATTGATTGACAAGTATGTGCCAGTTCGGAGAAAACCTGTGATATTAAAAATGAGTCATAGCGAAATATTATATTCGGTTTTTTTTTAAAACCACTGTTCCTTTATATTCCATTTTAGGCTCGAATAGTTATTTGTAGATTACCTTACAATTAGTTGAGATATTGGCCCTTGACTTGAATGTCTAGTCATTTTTGATTATGGTATAACTTTTTTCTCGGGCAGCAATAGAAAAATCAGAAATGAAAATTAGGTATTACCATTTCATTGAAGGAAATGGCTGCTGTAGCACTGTACTTGTCCGACAACAAAGTCTCGCCGAAGCAGTTTCCAAAACATTACTTCGACGCCGCGCTTGAGAACCAGCTCACCTATTCTGGGTACGTAATGCCGTTGTCGTTTAAGTCTTTCGTAATATTTTATTATTCTTGTCCTTGGAGTCCTAGCGCTTGTTTTGGATTGATTTTAGCAAGTACACATGTGTGGTTCGCTGTGCTTTAAATGCATCTATGGTATTGAGCAAACTTTCTATGTTCAAGGAGGCTGCGACACTTCTTTCAACCGCATCCAGCTTGGTAAGTGTTGCTTTTCTATAATAGGTTGCTGAAAAGATGGCATGTAAATGGTTAATCTCTAGGATAATGATATGTGCGTAGCAGTAACCCAAGCACATGCTTCCCGAAATTTTGAAGAGGCGAAAATGACGAGAAAAGCCGCTTTCTATCGGATTCTTGCTGGAAATCGTTTTATGAAAGCTGGACTCAAGCAGAATGCTTTAGGTAAGTCAATTACACGAACTCTCTAGCGTATCTTTTATTGGTTATGTCTTCTTCATTTCAGAATGTTACAGTCGAGCCCTGCAAAAATATGCCAATACGAATTGGGATTCTATCGAAGTGCATTTTATTTTGCTCTTGTTCTAAGTTTTTCAATTTATTCTGAAAAAGCTCCAATAAAAAATTTCAGGATCACTTATCAACTGTCTTATCAGCAGACACATCTGATAAATCGTTAGCGGTTGCCTGCGCGATTCGGCTGTTGAGGGAAAGCGCGATTCAAACTGAAACTAATCACGCTGCCTTCCTTGACAACTTCGTGGAAACATTGACGCGTTTTGGTGTTAGCAGTGAGGTACAGTACCTTTCCCCTTCCTTTTCCTAATCGGCTTAACGTGATCTTTGCAGACAGATCCTCTTGCTTTGCCTGTCCCTTTGCTGGATGTACAAGCAACACGTGTGATTTGCGGAGAACGACCGCAGTCAGATGATGTACCTCTCAATAAAAGCATTGCATGGATTGACATTGAACGGGCTGCTTACCATACATTGGCTGGTAAGTTTCTAGAAGCTATCTTGACGGAACCCTCGGAACCTCCTCCTTTAAGGCACTTCCGCCGCCTTCCGACCTACTCATCTCGTAAGTGACGACGATACTGATAATCAGAGGGTGCGAAGTACTCCGCCGTATGAGAGGTTTCGTGTAGAAGTTCACCTCCGCAACCCGCTAAAAACATCGTTGACGGTTCAAAATATGAGACTTGGAATCAAAGATATCCAGATGAAGGAAGGTGCGCAACTGATGTAGAAATCGGAGAGTTATCAAAAGTTGTATGCAGAATTTCAGGAAGTGAGGGCATGCAACCTTTCGATGGCCAAGAATTGCTACCTACCCTTAAGTTTTTGCCAGAAGAATCAAAAAAAGTAAGTTCACTTCTACGATGTGATGA